TTTAATATTTTGATAATAATCATATGTGTTGAACTTTTCAAGAAATTAAATGTTTTTTTTATTATTATATTATATTAAAATTTAATATTTTGATAATAATCATTTGTGTTGGACTTTTTAATAATTTTTTTTTATGCTTGTTATTAATTCATTAAAGTGTTATTATGAGGGATAATGATCATATGTGTTGGGACTTTTCAAGAAATTCATAATAATCCTATGTGTTGGACTTTTTAAGAAATTTTTTTTATGTTTCTTCTTAATGCATTAAAGTGTTATTATGAGGGCTAATAATTATATGTGTTGAGACTTTTCAAGGAATTCATATGTGTTGAATTTCAAAGAATTTTTTTTATGTTTGTTCTTAATGCATTAAAGTGTTATTCTGATGGTAAGACTTGAGAGTTGAGAGAAGTTAATAAATGTAAAGATTTTTTTTTTTTTAAATCAAAAAATTAAGAAATTTAGATTGGGAGATTGGAGCTCCCACAAGGTTTGGGGTTAAAAATTCTTTTTTGCTTAATATATAGTATAGATAGTATAGATAGATAGATGTTATTATGAGGTTATTGTGGAGTGGTCATTAGGGTTTAATCTTCATTTTTTTTTTATATATTAATATTACTGCAATTAATGCCGAGCCTTAGCTTGTTAATATTTTTTCTTTAAAAATGAAAGAAAAGTAATGAAGTGTTTTTGTATCCAGAAACCATAACAAATTTAGAGGAAGCCTGTTTTGAATCCAGTGGTCTAGCAAATTTTAAACTTTATTAATCAAAAGAATAACAAAGGGGAAACAAAACAAAAAAAAAAGTTCATTTGATTCGAAAAAAAATCAAAAATTTTTTTTTCTTTAATAAAAAATTTCAAATTTGATTAAACTGTTTCCTTTTTAAATATTTTTAATCTAGAAACACCTAAACACAAATTTAAACAAAAAAACAAAAGGGTAAATTACACTTACCTTTCCTGCAATTAATGCCAAGCCTTAGCTTGTTAATATTTTTTCTTTAAAAATGAAAGAAAAGAAAAGAAATGTTTTTATATCAAGAAACCATAACAAATTTAGAGGAAGCCTGTTTTGAATCCAGTGGTCTAGCAAATTTTAAACTTTATTAATCAAAAGAATAACAAAGGGGAAACAAAAAAAAAAAGAGTTCATTTGATTCGGAAAAAAATCCAATTTTTTTTTGTCTTTAATAAAAAATTTCAAATTTGATTAAACTGTTTCCTTTTTAAATATTTTTAATCTAGAAACACCTAAACACAAATTTAAACAAAAAAAAAAGGGTAAATTACACTGACCTTTCGCGTGATTTTTAACAAATACAGCGATCTCCTCTGTAGTTTCAATAATTACAATGACTCCCCTACTTTACCTGACATTCTCCAGATTCTCCCTTCTGTCAAATTGGAACTAACGAAATTATTTTAATTTTTTAAATTTTAATATTTTAAACTCAAAACACATTTCCACACTCATGTCATAACCAAATACATAACTCAAAACTTAATTAAAAAATTATTTTTAAACCTTATAATTAAACACATAACTCGAACAGTACTTTCAAAACTCTACACTTAAATCATAACCAAACACATAACAAAAAAATTAAAATATTTAAAAAATATTTATAAAATAAAATAAAATATTTATAATAAAAATTATATATTTAAAATAAAAAAAATAAATTTTTTTAATATTTAAAATATTATACAGAATGCAAATTTATAAAATATAGCGCACATTAAAATAAATAAATAAATATTTAAAATATAAAATATTTATCTTGAAAAAATAAAATTAAGAAAAATTTTAAATATTTAAAAAAAATTCTTAAAAATTCAAAAAAAAAGCTCAAAACTCTCAGAGCAGGTCGTTCTATTTTTTTTTTAAAAAAAATTTTCTTTTAAAATAGAATTTTGGAAAAAGTTTGGTTTTGAGTTTTGAAAAAGTTTTGAGTTTTGAGTTGAGTTTTAAGTTTGTGTTTGGTTTTGAGTTTTGAAATAATTTTTGAATTGAGTTTTGAATAAAAACATGTTCAAAAAAAAAATTAAAAATTAAAAAAATTAAAAAAAATACTTATGAGTTTTGAATTGAGTTTTGAGTTTGGTTATAAGTTTTGAAATTTTTCGAAGTTATTTTTTTAGGATAAATATTTTATATTTTAAATATTTATTTATTTATTTTAATGTGCATTATATTTCATACATTTATGTGTTGTATTTTTTTTAATATTTTAAATATATTTTTAAATATTAAAAAATTTAATTTTTTTATTTTAAATATGTAATTTTTATTATAAATATTTTAGGGTGATGCACCAATAAATCTTAATTTATGAACTTGTAAACTGTTTGGTCTTAAATATTTTTTTGTAGACTGAAAGATCCCATTATAGAGAAATTGACGACAGAGGGCATATACATCGCGACCTGAACATGGACGTTAGTGGGCAAAGTTGGTAAATTGACGGTGTGTGAAATTACAAATTGGGACATCATTTTCCTATAGTGTTGTGTAGGTATTTTCAGGTTGGGAGGTGGTAAAGTTGTAGAAAGGGGAAATTTGAGGTTTCTTATGTAACGAGGAGTAACATACAAAATTAAGTTACACACTACGAATAACTTCACAATCAAGTAACAGAAACCGTGCAATATTAATGTTATGAATACCATTAATCAACACACATGAACACACAGAAAACGTTAAAATAATGGAGAATAAAAAACCCACAGCCACTTCAACCCATATAAAACACCACACCAATCTGGATGACCATGACCTATCAATACACATCAACCAAAACCACAACACAACACACCTTGAACGTCACGTGCAACAACATAATACAAATGTAAAACACCCTCAACAACACAACTCACATGTTGCAGTCCCAACGGGTCCAGAGAACGATGCAAAATGACGGCCAAGAAAAAAATCAAACAAAATTGTAAAATAATGGAGCACAACACAAACAATCCACCGCTGCTCTCCCAAAGTCAACCCAAACCCCTACACACGCTAACATTTTTTAAGTCATTGACTGTAATACTTTTTTTTTTCTTTTTTTTTTAAGGAAGTGCACAAGTTGAATTATGTTGAAAATTTATAAAATTTTAAACCGCCAAACCGATTCGCATCCATCCGCCAAACCGTCAATCCGCTCAATCCACATCCGCCGGATTGGCGGACTGATGCGGATTGATTTTCTTCAATCCGCCAATCTGGCGGACGGATGACGGATTGGAGGTTTCGTGGCCGCAACCGACCCGCGCCCACCCCTACTACACACGCTAACATTAGCAATTCCCCCCGCCACCGAATCCCCAAGTTAGGAAAAACAAATCCCACAAAAGGGTATTAATGTAAACTTAAACATACTCAAAATCAACTCTGTAAACATTACCAAACAAAAGGGACTAAATGGTGTATAACAAAACTCTTAGGACTAAATGGTTCAACTTTCCATAATCTAGGATTTATGGGTAAATTTTCTAATATTTTATTTTATTTCTAAATATATTTTTAAATATTTTAATTTTTTTTGTTATGTATTTGGTTATGATTTGAGTGTAGAGTTTTGAAAGTAGTGTGGATTTTTGAATTATGTGTTTGGTTATGAGGTTTGAAAATAATTTTTTAATTAAGTTTTGAGTTATGTGTTTGGTTACGATATGAATATGGAATTGTGTTTTGAGTTTAAAATTAAAAAAAATTAAAATATTTAAAATAAAAAAATTAAATTTTCCTAAACATTTTTTAATATTTAAAAAAAATAAATCCAAAAATACTGTTTTAAACACTTTTTCGTTTCTTCCAAACATATCCTCCAATCCAATAATAATTTTTAATATTTTAAAAGGAAGAAAAATAAGGTCATTTATTATAGAAAAAGTAACCCCGTTAGTTCCAATTTGGCCGTGGAAAGGGAAATTTTTCGGAGTAACCCCGTTAGTCATTTATTGGAATTTCAAATTATGTGTTTGGTTATGAGGTTTGAAAATAATTTTTTAATTGAGTTTTGAGTTATGTGTTTGGTTACGATATGAGTATGAAATTGTGTTTTGAGTTTAAAATTAAAAAATTAAAATATTTACAAAATAAAATAAAATATTTAAAATTAAATAAAATTAATATATTTAAAATAAAAAAATAAAATTTTCTTAAACATTTTTTGATGTTTTAAAAAAATAAATCCAAAAATACTGTTTCAAATGCTTTTCATTTCTTCTAAACATGTCTTCCAATGTAAAAATATTATTTAATATTTTAAAAGGAAGGACAATAAGGTCATTTGTTATAGAAAAAGTAATCCCGTTAGTTTCAATTTGACAGAATGGGAGATCTGGAGAATGCCAGGTAAAATAGGAGAGGTTATTATAATTATTAAAATTACATGAGAGATCGCTATATTTGTCAAAAATCTCAGAGGAGATGAGTGTAATTTATCCAAAAACAAAAAGGTTATGTGGTTCACTGAAATATAAAAAGCCGAAAACAGCATCTACCAAACTAAAGCATTCAGCAGAAGCAGGCAAGCACACCTCCGCTTCTTTTCGCACTAGCGAAGGGTCGTTTAGGATTTTATATTTTAAGTGCTTTTTTAATATTTCAACCTTTTCATAAAGTGAAAAAAATTAGTGCTTTTGAAAATAACTTTTCTAGTTGTATCCAAGAAAACGTGAATAACAAATGTATTTGATTTATTTTTTTAATAATTTTTGTAGTGAATTTTTTAACCTAGGAGTAATTATTAGCTAACATTTTTTTCACTAATTATTTTAGACAGTGATCGGATCATAAATTTAAATAGAGATTTGAAAGGAAAGAAAAAATACAAGTTAAAATTTTCCTTCATTTGTTTTTTTTCTTTTTCAAACTACTATCCAAACATGAATCAAATACAGGGTTAGAGGAACCAAGTCCTAAAAAAGGACTTACAATCTTACAAAACCTGTAGCGCACATTTCAAAAAAAAAAAAAAAAAAAAAGGACTTTTCATGTGCCCTGTTGTTGGCAAATTTTATTGCATTGCTCAATGATTTTTCAATCAATCAGTCAATCGATCGTATAAATAAATATTACACTCAAATATGTCTAATGTTTTTAATCAATCAGACAAATCCTTATTTTCCTCTGAAATTGACTAGCACAACAATAATAATACAAAAATACAACAAAGGTGTAAACTTTTCAGGTCACAAAACAAAAACACAAGAACTGACTTTTCAAGACTGTAAATGGACATTACAAAATATAAAATCTCCTGCAAACTATATACACACTAATAACATATAAATAAGACTCAAAATATGAAGGGGAAAAAAATACAAATTATCATGTTCCTAAAACTTTGGTGTGGATGGGTTAAAAGAAACTCGGTATTAGATGTTTTACTTGTTCGACCACATGAATTCTATTTCCAGATTCCGCGAAGGCCCACTTTTGCTTTCAGGTAATAGAGTGTACTCACCGGCAACTGCCCCTAGCATCACGACACGGTCAATCTGGATTGTTACTTTTCCAAACGAGCTCTGACAATAGATTTTTAAAAAAAATTTGATAAGTGACAAATTAAAGAAGCAAATGTAAGAGGAAATTATTGGACTGCCTCTAGAAATGTTTGATTCATTTCGGGTTGATTTTACCTTCCCCACTTTGCTCTTGTTCTTGCATGAGATATGAAGCTTCTGGCCTTTCGGTGGACTTTCAAAGGACCACACAAAGCTCTCATCCCACTCGGGATTAGGACCGGTTGATACCACCTGTTAGCAAATGAATAGAAAGCAATTGTTAGACCTAGTGTAAGGCTGTGACAGAAAAGAAAGGCAGTGAAAAAGAGCAAAATATTTGGGTGCATGGTCATGGTTGTTAGAATCTTACAATTCATGATTCAATGAGTTTCAAGTAAAACGATTCAAATCCTGTAGTTGAATCTTAAATTGAGTTAACCTTATAATTCAATTGCAATTCACCAAGATTCATTGCAATTTGTTATGATTCACTGTTCAAAGGATTCAATTGTGTTTGCATAATGCATGAAATGACGTTGTTTTTGCAAAAAAAATAATATAAAATAAAATAAAAGAGAGATCAACTAATTATATTGATAGATGTGATTTTATATGTATATACATATATTGATATTTATTTCATTTAAACACTCTGTTTGTCTATATGTATATACATACATAAAATTATAGATTATGCTCAATAAATTGAATCTTACAATTCCCGATTCACTAGTTTAACAAAACGATTCACAATCCGGTTCACGATTTGACAACAATGAGCATGGTGAAACAAGGAAAACAAGATATAGGAGAAGCATAACATACAAATCATACCTTCGTTTGCCTAGGCGGAGTGTTACCAAGTGTAAGCTTGCAATAGACACTTGGGTTGCCAACTGACTGCTTCATATTGTTGCCACGTTTAATTACAACCATCAATGTCCCAGGTAAACACTGCAAAAGAAATTCCGCCTTCTCCTGAAACCGAGGTGGGCCTGACTGAATTAAATACTGCAGCAAAGGAATTGCATCTGCAGCAGCAACTGACTGTGCTCTAGAGACTTCAGCTGGGCATGCCGACCAAGCTTGCCTGAGAAGAAATAGTGCGTCCAAGGCAGCTTCTTGAGTTGCCTCTGAGCCATTCTTGAGTGATGTCACCATATGAGGAATACTGAGTGTTGCAGGCTCAGAGGCTCTCAGACGTGGGAAGTTGCTAAAAAGTGCATTTAGAGCTTTCAGATACTCATCATTCACTGATCCAGTACCCCATAAATCCTTTTCTATTGCACCTGCGCAAAGAGCCATAAATCTGATTAAACAACTGAAATTTTCTCTTAATGCCTGGAATGCCATCCTAACAACAAGCAACATCAGTGATGTTATATAATAAAGCGGTGCGTTAATGTTGTAACAGTCCATCTTATGTATTTTACTTTTGTTTCGCCTGCAAAAGGTCTGACTGACTCTATTACATGCAGTGCACTTTAGTGATGGAATAAGTTTTTTTTTTCCCCTTTTTCTCCCGTACTTTTCCCCCCTGAAAATGGAAACTAAGATAAGTTTCATCATAAAGAAATGATGTTATTTCCACTGCTATGTGCATTCATGCCAATAACCTATGTTACACGGACACAAGTTCGGGTGTCAGGTGTGGGGATGTGTTTAAGTGTTGTACTCATCTAATTTGTATGCCTAAGGACATCATGACATGGTTAGATTTAACATTTCTTATAAAATATTATATTCTCAAGGGAAAAAATGATGTTTATTAAGTAAAATATACCATTTTATGCATAAAATACAAGTCTTATGCATAGTTATACTTGTATAGAACTTGATTATTTACACATGTTCGGAACAAGTCCATCTAGGCATATCGGACACATATCCTATACCCTTATTCAAGTATCCAGTGTCCAACATGGGTATTTCACTATTTTAGAACAGTCTATGTAACTGGAAATTCTATTCACACCCACAAGAAATCTCAGTACACACTATTTAGGTTGTTTGGATATAAACTTTTGAACAAAAGGAAAAAATTCGGACATAAACTGATGAACAAAAATAAATTGTTCAAATATATATTCCGTTTAATTGTTTATGTCCTAACAATTGATTTTTGTTCATAAGTATATATCTGAATATTTGACTTTTGTTTGAAAGTTTATATCTGAACCACATAAATGGTTGTGTACTGAAATTTTTGTTGTTGTGTAAACAGAATTACCCCTATGTAACATAGCCAATAATAACAGACAGATGCCAATCAGGACTAGGTGAATGAATTTCACACAAAGAGATGAAGAGGATTTACCTGTAATAGCTCTGACTGTTTCACTGGAAGCATACTCCTGAATAGTATTGTTAGAGAAGAGAAGTTTAATAAACATGGTTGCCTGAATTGATGTATCTGGATCACCCGAACTAACCAGATCAAGTACAACCTGAACACCACCAGCTTCTGCAACTGCTCTTTTATTTGATCGACTATACATTACAAGGTTTTGCAAAGCACAAATAGCTACCACTTTCATTTCTTCCGTAGGTTGGTCCTCAAGAAGATTCACTAGAGCCCGGCAAGCTGAAACAGCATCCGCAGTTCGAGCAAGAGCCTCATTCTGGAATAGGTCACCAAGAGCAAGGGTTGCCAGTAGTCTTGCCTGCTGACCTTGAGTTTGTGGATCCAAAAGGTACTGGGATAATGGCAAGATTGCTGACTTGGTAGCTTTTGAATCCCTGACCTTTACATTGTTAAGCAACACCTCCAGCAGTCTTGCAGCAGTTTCCTCACACTGATGACATCTGAGAAGTTCCAGGAGAGCCTCAATCGCACCACTTTCTGCCATTGCTACAGCACTTGCAGGATCATCAATTTCCAAAACCAGAAGAGCATTCAGTGCACCAGTCACTGTGCTTTCTGAGCCAGAACGAAGCAACCTCACCAACACAGCAACAGGTACTTCCAAATAAAATTCAGAACTAAATTGCAGAATATTGGCTAAAACAGAACCAGCAGACTCCCACAAGGCATGAGGAAGTGAAGGATCAGCTTGTAATATCACTCTGGACAGCTCAGTGACTCCGCCCTCTTTTGCAATTTCATTTGGCCAAGTCAGTGCAATACCAACAAGAGCTTTTACAGCTCTTTGCTGTAAAATGTGTATTTCAGAACCAAGAGCACGTATTAGAGGACCAATCACTTGCTGCGTCACTGAATCCTTCTGAAGATGTTCTTCCAAAAGTAGATGAGATAGAAGCTCAGCTGCCAACTGTTGCACTGCAGGAGCTGCAGAATCTAGTAGAGGAATAAGTGGTTCAATAGATTGGTGAGGTGTCAAGTTATGGTCAGCACGACACTGAGGATGCTCCAAAATATTGACCAGAACCTGTAGAACACTATGTTGTCCATCAGGTCCAAACTCTGGTCTTGTTAGCAACAGGAAAAGGGGCTCGACCACTTTTGCAGCAGATGGACCCTTAGCAATGGTCGCATTATTTGTCAATATTCTGAGCAATTCTGCAAAAGCAGCAGAAAGAAAATCTGGTGCTTCATGGAGAATATCTAGCACACTCTCAATTACTCCAGCTTTCACCATTTCCATCTTGCAAGAAGGCCTGTCTTTTCCCAACTTCACAAGCGCTCGGGAAATAGCCTCATGAAGCATGTAATTCCTACCATAGAGAAGGCCAACAAGAGGAATAACTGCACCATGTGCAGCAACTAGTTCTGCCAGTTGCTCGTCATCCAAAAGTTTATCCAATGCACGGACAACTGAATGCTGAGCAGGACTGAACTCAGTTACAAGCAGGGAGACCAAAGGTTCAACACAGCGAGCTGCAGCCAACGTAGACCTGATTCTTGTATTTCCAAAAAGAACAGCACACAACTCACCAGCATCCCCCTTCAATTCCATTGAACAATTTGATGAAAGAATCCGGCAAAGAACATCAACTGCATTCATTTCAACATCTGCAACAGCAAGGGCTCTTGATGGGTTTTCACTCAATAACCTAACCAATGCAGCAATAGCAGCATGCTGCTCTTTCTCCAAACCAGTATTTAGAATTTCCACCAACGGTTGAACAGCTTGCCTGGAAGATTCTGCATTCCTAATATGGTCAGCAGAAAATAGGTTTTCCAATGCTTTAGCAGCACTATACCTTGCACCCCTTCCACCTAAACGCAAGACTGCTACAAGTTGACTAACAGAACCAAATGCAGATTCATGTCTCCGTATTTCAGCACTGCTAAATAGGATCCCCAATAGATCAGTAGCAGCTTCCTCAGTTGCATCTCGTGGGCCAAGTGAAAGATACTTAGTCAGTGCTTCCAGAGCCCCTGATTCTACCATAACAATCTTATTTGGGGAACAGTCTTTTGCAAGCTGAGTCAGAAGCCCAAGTGCTAGAAAAGGTGCCCCTGGACGATCTGGAATTGGTTTAAGTAGATCGACAAGGGCAGGAATTGCTTTCCGAGAAGTGGCACCAACCCTAATGTCATCAACCCTAAACAACCTCTCAAGAGCTACTTGTTCTGGATATTGCACCAACGAAAGTTCTTCTGACAACTCCAGAAGATCATATATATCAACATCAGCACACCCAAGCAAGGAAATGAGGCCACCTGCTGCCCCAGAATTTGCAACAGACAGAAGAGTTCCCCTGCTACCATTACATACTAGACTGGCCATAGCTTGTGCAGCAAAGTACCTGTTTGCCGACTCCTCTGACCTCAACAAATTAGCAAGTATTGGTATAGATTTCATGGTTGCATTTGCACGTATGATATCTCTATCTTGAAACAGAATGGCTAGTAGTAATGCACAAATCCATACACTACTATCCTCTTTAAAATCAATCTGCATGAATTACCACGTTGCACAAACAAAGGTTTCAATGATAATATTAGCATAAGTGCCTGAGCAAATTGCACTATGGCTTAGATGATTCAACATAAGACAAGGAAACTAAGTTAAAATGCTAACAAGACCTAGATTTTTCAATCATCATATGGATCATGAATAAGTTTGACATTAACCAGTGCAATACCTGAGTGTACTTCGATAAACAATTTTTCAACCATCATATATATGGAACATGAATAAGATTGACATGAACAACCTACTCCTTGGGCTCAAATGGTATGGTTCAGGGGCAATGTACCCAAATGGTCTTTTATTTTGTGGTTGAGTACTTAGGGAAGACTTGCAACTCTATAGAGAGTATACAATTGGCGGCTAACTCAAGTGCTGATCTGTCAGCTTTGTGGGCAGGGTGATGAGAGCCATTCACATCTGTTTTTTGAATGCATGTTTTCTACTGGTATCTGGAAGTACATGTTAGATTTGCTTCAGTGCAATAGGATTCCATTAGATTTGGAGCAGGAATTCATGTAGGCGAGACAGAATAAAGCAAGCAAATGTTTCAGGCTTAGGTTGTATAATCTAGCACTATAGCTACAGTTTATATCATTTGAATAGAAAGAAACTTGAAGACTATTTTTGCGTAAGGCTAAACATCTTCATGAAGTCAGGAAGGATATTCTTGAAGGCGTTAGATTCAGGGTAGCAACTTGGGGAAAGATCAATGACAATGTAAAGAATAGGAATTTGAACTATGCTTTCTCTCTAAATAGGAACACTATAAGTAAGTATATAGTTCTACAGCTCAGCTGCTGTAGTATGTTAAACATGGGGTATGACTCATGATTGTTTGTATGTTTTGTTGTTAATAAAATCTTACCAAAAAAGATTGACATGAACAAGCTCAATACCTGAGTGTACGTCAATAAACATTCAGAGATTCTCTCAGTGAGGACTTCAACCGCACCAGCCTCCATAATCTCTATTTTACTTTTGTCATCATGAGTAGCAAGGACGGAGAGTAACCATATGACCATGTTGACACCAGAAATAACAGCAGTGCTTCTCTCAGTTTCACCATTCCTCCCCTCTTCAGTATTCCTACAAATGCTTACCCCCTCCATATCCACATCATCTCCATAATGAGGAGACTCCGTGGAATAAAGCATTCCAACAAGAGATCGAATAAGAAAGCTGCATGAATTTGATTGATTCAAATCCTCCACAACTCTCTGGTGATTTACTTTTGCAGCACAAATAAGAAGTGCAGTTCCCCCAATTTTGACCCTTCTGTTTGAGGCATTGATAACCCTTCTAGAGATTGATGAAATACATCTGGAGGCACACACAATTGCGTTTCCTAGGACAACCGGCTGAGCCTTGCAAAGCCGCGATAATATTTCTATAGCTTTGTCCTGCAGCAGGGGTGATGCATCGGCAACACATGAGACTATTGGAGTTATGCTGTTTGGAAATTCAGCTAGAACTGCCCATGCCGGTTTGATATTCCCACTAGCTCCTGACCTTGACAGAAAGGCAAGTGCATCTAGTGCCTCTGACATGGCAGCAGATCCATTATCAGCAGATTCCAGGAAAGCAACTACAGCAAGAACAGTTCCAGCCCGATTCACACAATCAGTCAAGGACGAATCAATGCAGCGAGAATGAAGTAACCGAGCAATCGCTGCTGCAGCATGGGTCTTCCCAGCAACTGTGCCTTCGCGCAAAACCCTAGTAGCAGGTAAAATAATATCTTCAGAAATGGCTTTCTCTGAAACTTCACTATCCAGAAGAAGATTTGACAAAGCACATGTTGCCTGCTCTGCAACTTGTAGAATTGAAGAGTTGGCTAGCACCACCAACAAAGGCAATGCATCTCTAGCAACAGCAGCCACATCCTTGTTCTCCTTGATTGAAAGAAAGATTGCAGCAAGGCAACGCGAGGACTCTACTAAGATGTTTTCAGAGTCAACATTTAGAAGCTTCATCGCTGCCAAAAGAGTCTTTATGGCGATGCTACTTTCACGCAAGTCCTTTCTGAGACCAAAAATTACTGCCAGAGCCGCTGCAGACTTTGCCTGGGTCTCTTCTCTAGTAGAGCTTAAAATTTTTATCACTGTCTCTACCGCATCATTAGCAGCACTTCCTTCACGCAACATGTCATTGAGAGGGGCTACAGAAAGCATACTTTTTAATGCATCCAAAACATAAACTTTAGATTCGGGTAGGTCACTGGTTAATAATGCAGTGAGTTGGCTGATAGTTGCTGTATCTGATTTGTGGATCAAATGGTTCAATGTCTTCGCAGCAATTTCTTTCCCATTTGAGCTACCATTCTTTAGTAGCCATAGTAAAGCAGGAACAGCATCAGCACTCTCAACGCATGCACGTATATCGTCACTGTGATTACAGAGATTGCCAAGAATTGTTGCTGAATCTTCCTTAGCTTTCACAGACCCAGTCTCTAGAATTTGAACAAGTGGAGGAATGCCACCAGCAGCCGTGATAGCCCATTTACTTTCATCATTCTCATTAGATAGAACGCAAAGTAATGCAACAGCACATTCTTGTTGTTGTTCCGATGAAAGCCCAAGAAGAGAGATCAATAGCTGAATCCCCTCGCGACCTTGAAGGGCACGCCATAGACTGCCTTCATTGTTGCAAAGCATGAGCAGGGATCTGATTAGCTCGTCCTGAACTTCATTGGTTGCCATTGTGATCAAACCAACCAGAAGACGTTTTGCATCAGAATTGGCAAGTTTGTTTGAGAGTATGGCATTCCCATACAAACTGGCTAGGGCTTCTATGGTCCGTTCCTGCACAAGAAATGGTAAGCGTGGTTTAATTTGCTTAACCAATGTCTGCTCGATATCCATAGGATCTGATGCTCTAGTAGTTTCTGCTTTGCTATCGTATATCATAAGAGCTGAAGCTAAAGCCCCCAATGTGTCCGCAATCTGTGCAGGAGAAGTGCATGATTCAAGGCTTTGTCCAAGACTTGAGATGACATACGACAAACCACCAGAAATGTTTGCAAGAGCACACATTGCATTCTCCTGCAAAGCTTGGGCATACTCACCTTGCATGAATTCTTTTGAAGGAGCTATTGTTGCATTTATCAAAGAAGGTATACCATTAGACTTAGCTATCTCCCCCTTTGCTTCTTTGCACTGGAAAGAAAGAGATTTAAGTGCACCTGCAGCTTCTGCTCTGACAGGAGCTTCATTACCAGGTCCTAATAGCTTAAGGAGTTGTTTTGTAGCCTCCACAGCCAATACCTTAGAACAAACAGATGCATCCTCCATCATCACACAAGCAAGAAGAAAGCAGACATTAGCTTGAGTGCTTGACTGTCCACTTGTAAGCAACTTCACAAGTATATCGACTCCTCCAGATTGTATTGTTGCAGACCAGAATCCCTCGGTGCTGCTGGAAAGGTTTCTTAAAGCTCCTGTCAGCAAGTTATCAACAACATTTCCAGCCTTTAGCCCTTTCTGTAGTTGCTCCCATAGTACCGGCACAACTCCTTCAGTTGAAAATATTTTTGATCCAACATGATCTCTCGCACCACCTTGGGAAACAGCATGAATGGTCTTAGCAGCCGCAATTTGACCATCTGCTGAGCTGGACCTAAGGAGACCAAGCAGTGGCGGAATGCAACCCCCAAGCAATACTTTAACCCTTAGTTCATTCTCCTTACATAAGGAGCCTAAAACAGTAGCAGCCTGCATCTTCACCCCAAGTGATCCTGATCGAAGAAGAGACACGAGCACAGGAACTGCCTGAGAATGAGATCCAACAGCACTGAAAGCACTTTCACGTGTATCAATAAGCTCAAGCAACTGCTTCAAGGAATACTCTTTTTCCTGTACAGATGAAGAATTCTGCCGCAACTGCTCAATGCATTGGGCAACACTAGCCAGTGTTCCATCTGGGTCTTCCATGTTACTACGCTCTCTGCGGGTAATTTAGGAATGTAAGGTACTTGAGCAGTAAAAATCATCAATTTTTTAAGTATTGCAACACCATTAAAACTGATCTGGGGCAACAATGTACTGTTAAAGGCCCCACATAAAGCCTACACAATGCAGATGCTGAATGATTTCTTTAATGACATTAGTATTTCCAGGAGCAAGAAAAAAAGGGCTAATGACTCCATAGACAAAGAAAAGTGAAGGTTGACAGTTCAAGTTGAAGGCACAACAGGGAGCAGGAGGAGTTCAAAGAGAACATGGGTTGACAGCCCTAAGTTACATGACAGCCTACCAGGGGGAAGCCCCAATAGAGCAGAAACAAAATAAATGTTAATTTTAAATAAACACAAGTTACTGGATAAGTTTTTTTAACGACATTAGTTGAATTTTAGTCAATACATTAATATGTTTCCTTTTTCAGTAAGCAATTTATATAAGCATTCAAAAGGGAATTTTAAATATGTAAAATATATAAATGAGGTGTCTTCTGAATAAGATATTTCACTCTAGCAAAAACTATGAACTTGACATTGACAGGTATGTCCACAGTCAGAGTTATCCCCATAGATCTTTCTCTCATTTTTTCTGCTTTGAGGGGCATAAATCGTTTGTGATACAATGAAGCTGGATGCCCAATAGCAGTAACTGCTTCATAAAGATAAAATTGAATGCAGGATAAATTGTTCAGAGCATGATAAATTTTTTATTAGAATGCTGTATTGATGAGCCAATAGAAGCCTCAATCAGTGTTTGCCAATGTCTGCAGTGAGCAGGCAGTTTTCAACTAAAGAAATGCTTGCCAAAGAATATTAAAATGTGATTATAACATAGAAACTCACAAGAATAGGGTCCCCAGAAATTGCAAATTGGAACACTATTTGGCTCTTAATTGCAGGTGCAGATAATAATTGAACTAACCTTGAACCCATTTTTATAAGTGAATGCGGAGTTGGCGGCTCTGAATCATGATTTTTAGCATCCCCATTTCTCTCCTGCAATAAAAAGAATGAGATAGTTGTGGTCACCACTAGATACAGAAGCAAAGAAAATGTTATCAACATAATTATAGATCACAAAAAGGATGCTGACCACCCTAAAGATTCTAATCAAGAAAACAGGAAGCCACAAGAGTAATAACATGAAAGTGATACAGCATGTTGTGTAAGAATGCAAAATATATCCACTATTGCCCAAATTGCTCCAAAATTCAAGTCTCAAAAAGGCAAGCCAATCGTTTATTGTACATAGAAATAAGCAAATAAGTACCAGATCATTAGTGGCAAGGTTGCTGCCATTGTTGGGAGCAAACCTCCAACCTAGTGTCGCCGCCAGCTTTGCTGATGATTTGAGATCTTCAGATCTGCCTCCAAACACAGTCAAAAGATTCAAGCCTCCTGCAAAATACCATCAAATTTAAAAAATGTTAATTTTTGGGACCCATAAAAAAATAAAAAGCCCAACAAATTTGTGCTTACCAATTAGTCCATCATAATTCAAAAACAATTACTTCAAATCACTTCAAACCAAACAAACCTCAATACATTCCTTAAAAGAATGTGAATCAATACAAACACACATGAATAGCTTCAGATCAAATCTAAGTTACAAACATACCAAGAATGTCAAAAGCAACTGAACTATAATATAAACCACTTCGAAACAACTTATCACTGGATTCATCTATACTAATTATGATAACTAAACACCATTAAAACCCAACTAGAAGCACAATGTAGTGCCTTGATTGAATTTATGCAATAAAAACAAAAACCCAAAATCAATTCCAAAGAGATTCAAAAGAATTCCCCAGAATTAGCTTAGCAAAACAGTAGATCAACATGTATTGATATCAAAACTCTAGCTCTACTGAAATTCAAAAAAACTAAAAACGCCACAAATGCGAAATTGAACTAGCAAAGGCACAAGCAGTAGTGACTAACATCAGAATCAATGAGAAAGCATAACATTTTAGATACTCAAGGAGAACAGGATCTGAAGAGAAAACGAAAGAAATGTATCAATTTGTAAATTAACTCTTGAGACGATCCAAGACAAAGAAGGAAGTTGATAGACCGCGTCAAAACAGTCTGCAATAAATGTAGACAGAGAGAGAGAGAGATTAAGCTGACCTTGAAGAGACTGTAAAGAATGGAAGAGATCAGAGATCGAAGATCCAATATCGAAGATCTTCAATGCATAAATGGGTATCGTAGCAGTGAAGGGAAGAATGTGCAGGGAAGATGTGGAGAGAGAGAGAGAGAGAGAGAGAGAGATGGGGAAGAAGAGTGTTGAGTTATTATCAGTGGACCACCGACGGGCTCTTTGTGGCTTGGCTTGGACTGGACTCTCTCTTGCGCTGCTTTTTTATTTATTTACTTTTTAAATATGAGATTATTTTATTTCCTTTTACCAATTTGGTTGCAAAGTACTTTAAGGCCATGTTTGTTTAGACGGACTGAATTAGTATTTTCATGACTAATAGTTTTAGGAATACCAATTCGTTGGATTATGTATCCTATCTTAACTAATAGTCAAGTTTAAAATAATTAATCCGTACTTTAATTGTTTAACCAAATATCGGATTAATAATTTTATTAGACTATTAGTCCAATCCCAAGCCCATGTCCACCCAAACAAACATGGCCTAAGGGGTTACCAATTTTGTTGCAAAGTACTTTAAGGGGATGTTTGGGGTGTCTTAAATACGTGTATTTTTTATTTTTTTAGACTAAAAAATTGAAAAAAAAAATATAGATGTTTAGGTTAATTTTTTTACTTTTTATGAAAAAATGTGTATCAAAAATTTATATAAATTAGTGTGTAAGAAAAAATTAAGATTGAGAGTTGTGCAATCGTAATTTTTGACTTTTGATAAATAGTGATAATTTTTTAATTTTTTTTTAACTTGCCAAACTTGCCCTAAATATGAGATTATTTTATTTCCTTTTACTAATTTTGTTGTAAAGTACTCAAAATACGTAGATTGATATTTTTTTTTAGATAACGTGACAAGTTATTTGAGGTGATTTAAATAAGTAGTGTTGGAGGTAAATTAAAAAGTATATTTTTTTATTTATATATATTTATTTGGATCATATCAATTAATATCTATTAACATTATTCTTTACTTTTTTGATCACTTTTTTTACTTCTCTACATATTTTTTTTTTATAAAAAATAAAAAAAAAAAATGCACTTATTTAGAACATCCCAAACAAACACTAATACTGTGTTTGGTTGGGGACATTTGGAGAGGGATTTGGAAAGGGAAAGGGAAAAGGTGTGTGAAATTAGGTGAAATGTAAGTATATTTTATTCACATTTCACCTAACTTTTCCCTTTCTCTTTTCAAATCCTTCTTCAAATCCTCCAACCGAACACAGCGAAAGTATTTTTTGACTTTATATAAAAACTATATAAAAAAATAAAAAGTAATGTGATCTATAAAAAAATAAAAAATATAAGAGATGTCAAATAATCCGTAAGAATCAATTCGATCCTACCATTGTAAGGCTTCATTTGGCAAGTCCATACTATAGAACTCTTTTAGCAATATTATAAAGAAAAATGATCCGGACCCCACAGGAAGTGACTCCCATGACCCCGCTTGTGATTGGCTAATTTTTTTTTTTTCTTTTTTTTCTTCTCCTCTAATCACAAACCCCCACGTGTGTGGGATGGTCGGGAAAGAGGGTCTCAATCACATCTCTATTATAAATAAGTTATTTATTGATTTATATATAACTTAATTCTATCATATTACATTTTTATTTTTTGCACATTTTTTTATAATAAGCAGAAAAACTCAATTTATACCTCCAAGCAACCATTCTAAAATTCACAAAAATCGCTACAAAAGTTCAGGAAAAAAAAATTCCGTTTACTTTACTTTTTGTATTACTTTTCCTAAATAAAAAAAAAGACAAACTAATTTTTTTTTCTCAAATTTTAGTCAAAAAAATTACTAAAAAATACGTTCCTAGACAACTCCTAAGTTCAAGTATGTTCGAATTCTTGAGAATTTGAGAGGCTTATTGACCGCTATGGGCTCATTTTAATAATTTAAATTGTTTATTTTTGTGTGGGTGATTTTCCGACCACACTGCCCGCTTAGTAACCAGCTGGAGAGCACTGGCAGAATAGATGGCACCTGACGGAGCTGCAACAGAAATATAAGAATCCCGCGGTGGTTTCGACCACCCGGGGGCACTCCGACGATCAAGTCAGTATATCTCTCAAAGATAGTCAAGTACTAAACTCACAAGCTTGAGTATCAAAAGCATACCTTAGACCCATGGGGGTGCCTCTCTTTTATAGCCAATACAATCCTAGTCCCAATAGGAGCCTGGCCCTAATGGACTTAGGATTACTGCTAATCTGGGACTCCCAGTGGGATTCGGATAAACTCTCTAAGAGTCCTATCTTTACCCAAACTGAAGTCTTCTCCCAATCTAGGACTCTTGTCCATATCCAAGTTGAGTTCCCTCTTAAAAAGTTCTTAAAATTTATAATTAATTTATAAATATTTTTTTAATACAAATTGGTGTATAAACTTTTCTAAAATTAATCACACCATGCAAATTGTCTCAAGGCTATGTTTGGTATGAGTTTTTTTTTTGGTTATTTTGTATCCACAGGGAGAGAATAGAGTTGAAAAATTTCACTCGGGGGGGGGCGAGGGCGAGGGCGAGGGCGAGGGCGGGGGTGGAGTTTGTCTATGGGGCAGGAAATGGCATACCTGACACAAACCAGCCTCGTGGCCATCCCTACTAGTAATGGCAACATGTTAAAATAGTCAAAACTCAAAAATTATAAAATATTCAACTCTTCTTTCTATTTTTTTATTTTTGCGTTTTTTCATAAAAAAAATCAAAAAATTAATTAAATAGTCAATTTCTAAACTATTAATCACTTATTGATGATAAATTTATTACTTCATACTAACACTAGTAAATTTAGAGAGATTTATTTATAAATTCTATTTAGAGGAGTTATAACCTAATAAGTCTACAAAGTATTCTTATATTTTACTTTAGTCCCATACATTTGAACATATATTTCAATAGGTCATTTTTTCCATATTAGAAGCATTATGTGGACTATTTTACCCTTATATATATTATACCATATATCTAGGAGAGAGAAAATTATTATTAGATATATTTCATTCATGATATATATATATATATATATATAGAAAATGTTATATATTGAGAGGGTAATTTATATGAAAATTGGGCCGAGCTAGGGCAATGGGCCGTTATGAGCCACAGTATAAAGGGCCACGTAAGTCACTCCAGTCGTATGGATATTCCGAAGTTAGTCCGGTCCTAAGACTTCGAAGCTAGTCCGGTCCGATGTAAAAACGAAGTAAGATCGGTCTAACAGTACCTTTGCGTTAGACCGGTCTTGGAGTTATACCGGTCACGACTTGTTAGTTCGGCCTAACCACGCCGTGTGTTGTGCATGAGAAGCCGACGTACGAGAAGTAAAAGGAAGAGCTAGTTCGGCCTACTCTGAGGCTCGGCATAGCCATAATTATTTCGGTCATGTTGGAGTTCGGCCATAATAAAACCATCTCACTTGGTTTAAGCAGTGAGGGGGGTGTTAAAGGATAAGCATTATCCTACAGGACTATGAATCCTAGGAGGACTCTACGTGGAGGAGCAGAAGTCCAACTAGGATTATGCCACATGAAACCTATAAAAGCTCACAAACATCACCTTTGGGGAGGCAATACACAACTTTGCTTTCTGAATTCACAGAGCTTTGTCTATTTGTCAAGTTCGCTGACTTAGGCATCGAAGAGGTTTCCGGCACACACCCGCCGGATAGCTCACGTTTGTGTTTTCAGGTGATAAGGCGACGTCGTATGGAGGAGCGCAGACTTGGTCAACAGGATTATACGAGAAGGTTTATTTCTTTCCCATACAATTGGCGCCGTCTGTGGGAAGTTACAAACAGAACAAAACCTCTTGACTAAAGCTTCTCTTTACAAAACAATGGCGCACAATGAAGAATTGCCACATTCCGCCATCAACGGGCAAACTCCAAATGGGGGCACGAGGCGCGGAGGACTACCTTCTATCCCTCCCATGGCGGACTTGGAGCCCCAACGACATAACTCCAGGAGGGATGCTAGGGGGAGGCGGACTAACAGCTCCCGTCACTCTCGTTCACAAAGTCTTGACAAGCAAAGACGGAGGATCGATCCTCAAGCTCTGGAAGACCGCATAAAAGAGCAAGATGAATTGATAAGGAAGATGGCGGCGGACATGGAGGCCTTGAAACGCCAGATGAAGAAAAAAGAAGTGGCGACAGGAGAGGGGCGCAAAAACAAGATGCCCCCTCGCCACTCAGAAAATCGTAGTAGGAATACCACACCCTCGCAAGGGGAGAGCAGAAGCCTCAGGACAGGCGATACTCAATCTTGGTCTTCCAGAACTCGTCACTCCAGGTCTGAGAGGACGAGATCTAAAAGATCATACACTGAAGGAAGCACGTATTGGCCCTCGCATTCGCACCAAACCAGATCTAGACAGACGGAATTACCCAGATCATCCGACTTACAAACCGTGCTCGAAGCAAAGGCACAATGCAAGGAGGATGCCAGGGCAAGGGATCCACACAAAGTTTCGGCCTTACAACGGTTGGCTCCTCGGACGCATGGAAACGTCGAGGTTGGAATGCCAATACCGCGCCCGGCCTACGAACCAACGGACAAGGCATTAGCAAGGCTACAGACTTCGTCGTTTGTTCTGACGATTGAAAACGCGCCCCTACCATCAGGCTTCCTTCAGCCCAAATTCACTACATATGAAGGGAAGACGGACCCCTACTCACACTTGAGCCACTTTCGCCAAGTCATGGCCGTGTACAGGCGAAACGAGGCCTTAATGTGTATACTCTTTCCATCAAGCCTTGGCGACCTAGGCTTGACTTAGTTCGAGAAACTTCCAGAGGGCAGCATAGCCTCCTGGGCACAATTGGCAGAGGCGTTCGTAACAAGGTTCCAAACAAACACTAAAATCCCGGTGGAGATCGACCAACTACTCTCCATCGACATGGGCGATAAAGAGACCCTAAGATCCTACAATAGTCACTACTGGGAGACATTCAATCAGATTGGGGACTGCCCCACCAATCTCGCCATTACACAGTATAAAAGAGGCCTTCCAATCGGGAACAGACTAAGGAACTCGATCACCATGACGCCACCCCTCACCATGGAAGCCCTGATGGAGAGAGTGCATCAGCACATCAGGGTAGAAGAGGATGGCGCACGTGCCAAAGCAAAATCTGGTGCGACCGCAGTAC